AAAGAAAATTTCAACTCCTAAAGTTCTCAGCTCTCTACCAGACAATCTTTCACTTACTGACTTGCAGAAGCTAACACAAACCTATAAGTGGGCAAAAGATATAAATCAGTATTCATAAGGAAGGGATACCTGAATTACTAACAAGATGTTCTTGGCCTAACTAGTAACAAGAACACAATAAAATAATGAGATAACACTTTACATCATACTGACAAATATGAAAACAGATAATCCCAAGTGTTGGCAAAGATGCAGGGAACTAGAAAAGAATCCTTTCTCATACTGCAGATCTGAACAGCAGCTGGTGCTATCACAGTGAAGGGCTGATTCAAGACATCAAGGTCTACTCCTGGGTGTGTCTATTCAAGTCTGTAGGGGAACTTATATGCTAATCTTCTGTGGTATGATCAGTTGGGTGTAGACATTGATTAACTGATTTAACAAATTAAAAATCTTAAGTTTATTTATTTTGAGAGAGAGAGAGCAAGTGGGGTAGGGGTAGAGAGAGAGAGGAGAGTGAGAGAATCCCAAGCAGGCTCTGCACCGTCAGCACCGAGCTCATGCAGGGCTCGGACTCACAAACTATGAGATCATGACCCGAGCCAAAATAAAAAATCGGACGCTTAACAGACTGAGCCACCCAGGTGCCCCGATTTAATAAACAAATTAAACAAACATACTTCACCTATCTTTCCAGCTAACTCTCTCCCCACTCCAACTATCCTTGGATACCATGATATCACCAATCCGTTGGTCTATGGCTTTGGAGTACTCTTTGGTAGAGTTGGATTTAATCGGGGTGGTGGTTTGGCCAAGCAAGTGCTCCAGAGCCAGAGAGGGTCAAAGGAATTGATGGAGAGCATGTTTGACCACGGGATTACAGGTTGGTTAAAAAAGGAAAAACACCCAGGGCTCAAGAGCAGGAAAAAAAAAGGGTGACATCAACAGGTTGGTGATCTCAGGGAGATCAGAGCATAGTGTCTCTGTTTCCCTCCCTCCCTCCCTGGCACAGATGCTCTTGAGCCTTCTCAGGGATAATGTTCCAACCAACCACTCCTCTATTTCCTGTTATTTGTGTGTGTGTGTATTTACTACTGGATCATTCTTATTAGCATTCAAATATGATGTTAATTCTCTCATCTTATTGAAAAGACCTTTTGCCCTGGTTTTCTGTGCCAGGCCACTGCCCTATGTTTTTGCTTTCTTTTGAGGCAGAACTCCTCAAAAGAACTACCTATTCTTTCGGACCCCACTTCCCCTCCTTCCACCCTTAAGCCCTTGCCAATCAGGCTTTCGTCTCCACCACCCCACCATCATCATGGTCACCGATGATGTCTGCTTTGCTAAACCAAATTGTCCGTGTACCTCCCACCTGACCTCACAGGGGTAGTCCTCTCATCTGACCGGTCCTTCCATGACACACTTTTTTCACTTGTTTCCAGGAAACCACGGTTTCTTGGTTTTGATTCTCAATGGTCATTTCCTTAGTTTGGGCTGGTTATCTCTCTTCTCTCCAGTATCTTTACAATGGAATGTCCCCAGGGCTCATGTTTGGTCCTTCTCTCTCTTCTCTCTTCTCGTCCTTTAAACGCCACCCACATACCAAGGACTCTCAAAAGAAACCTCTCTCCGGTACTCCAGACTTACACGTCTACCTGCTCACTCAACATTTTTGCTTGGAAATCTAAAAAGTATCCTCAAACTCAGCAGGTCCCGAACAGAATTCCTGATCTTTCTCTCTGTCCGACCAGAAGCTTCCCCCATCTCAGTACTCCATCCTTTCACTGGATCAGCCAAAAACTTTGGAGGAGTCATCTTCTCTCTTTCATACACTCCACATCCGATCCATCAGCCACCCCAGCAGGGTGGCTGCCTTCTCTGCCTTCTCTGCCACCACCCTAAGGGTCCAGCCTACCACCATCTCTGGTCTGGATTACAGTAGTAGCCTTCTAGTCTGCTGGCTTCTTCTACGTTTACAATGTACCCTCAACACAGCAGCCGAAGTGATCTTTACCAAGTATAGATCATGCAGGATTGGGTTACCTAATTTGCAGAGCCCAGTGCAAAGTGAGAATGAGGGGTTCCTTGTTCTAAAATTAAAATGATCTCAAGTTAGAAATTATCCTCCTATATATCCTGTAATAGAAACTATTCCTCCGGCAGAGGAAGCAACTACATGGGTCACACACTTGGGAAGCCTGAATCATGGCACTCCACTGCTCAAAACCTTTCAACCTCAAAGTCAACCCCAAAGTCCTTAGAGTGGAAGATGGGCTTGTCCTGATCTCTGCTCCACATGCTCTGAACTTCCCTCTGTATTTACTTTCCTCCAGCTTCACTGGCCTCTTTCCTGCGCCTCCAACACTCCAGACATATTCCTTCCTTAGGACTTTTGCCCTGGCTATTTCTTCTGCCTGGGAAACTTTTCCTCTAAATACCCTTCAACTCTCTGCTCCAAGGTTATGTTCCCAAGGAAGCCCAACCTGATGACCCTATTTAAAACCGTGGCTGTCGCCACCTCCCCACATTCCTGAGCCCTCTTACTGTATCCTTTCTCCCCCATCTCAGTTATCACCTTATACTATAGATATATTTTTATGTGGATTGTCTGCCCCCAGTGGAACGTAGGCTCCATATAGATTGTTCTGTTCATTATGTACCACGAGTGTCAAGAACACTGCCTAGCAAATTACAAGTGCTCAATAAATATTTGTTAATCAACGAAGATACAGGAATTCCTTAGCATTACTTATGGTGGCAGAGAGCTGGAGGCGATCCAGGTCTCCATCAGCAAGGTACATGCAAAAGGTAGTATATGCAGATAACAGAATACCACCCAGCCATCAGAAATAATGAACCAGACCTTCGTGTAGCAACCTGAGTAGCTCTCAAAAACAATGCGAGTAGGCACAAAAAAGCAATGAGCATTAAGTAAATGAAGGTCGTCTATAAACATAAAATAACGTTAAATCGTTTTCAAAGATAAACCTATCTAAAGACATTAAATCACTTAGGGTAGATACAAGGGAGTGTGCGAGGTGATGGAAGGCAGGGTGGGGGTGGAGGTGGGTGCACTGAAGTGGGGGTAAGGGGTTAATCCAAGGACCTTGCCTGACCAGATGGCAATAATATACCACGAACGTAGGAGGGGATCGTCTTTGCCTCTGCCTTGGAGGTCCAAAGAAAAAAATCATTTTTTTAAAAGACCATAACGGTCAACCATCCGTTTGGCAAATATCGAGCACCTCTAGGTGTCAGCCAATGTACTAACG